GATCAACAACAAAGTAGGCTAACAAGATCCTACGTGAAATGTGAATGTGAGCGTTGATGAGTGAGTGTGTCTGTGAGTTTCTATTTGTCTGTATGTGAGTATCCGTCCGTATTATTAGCCTGTCTAGATGCCCATGTCGGTGGGCATCATCCATGTCAGTCGACACCAGGTTTGCTCCGTTTACCTCCTGTCTGCTTTCGTACCTATTGGCCTGTTGCCTGTTACCTACAGTCGTGACAAATGGCCGCGGACAAACAGCGTTATCCGTAGTGGCGGTTCGAGTGACGTTCAGCCAATCTTTTCCGATGGTTGTAATAGTCGTAGCTAGAAAGCAGCGGCGAGCCCAAGATCCGTGATTCGCGATCGGCGAATTTTTTTGTTAATCTCCTAGGATTACGTACAAGCACTTTGACGGGTGATGGCAACAACAAAAAACCAATGAACAACGATAGCAGAACGTTCAGGCGCCGAAGAGAGAAAGGCTGTTGCCTTGATTCGTCTTTGGATCCGTTCGAGCCACGATCTGGAATAGGACTGCGGTGGATTAAACCGTGATCACAGCAGTAGTTTGCGAGCGCTGACAACTCGATTGTATTATATACTCAGATAGTGCCACTGTGACGGCTATAGCAGCAACGGCCGCTTTACGGCCGCCACTGCTACAGGGAGCCGCGCAGTTCCGGATTACGACTATACTCTATCTGCTGAGCGGAGTAGAGACATAATCATCATCGACGGTTATCCGTAGCTATCCGGTTCATAATCGAAGGGCTTGCGTTGACTTTTTGTGAAGGAGATGATGGCAAGAAGCTGTTGGGGGACTGTAGCGTGTTCGGACACGAGTGAAACAGCAACGCGAGAAAGGACGAAAGTGTTCGATAATATTTTTTATTCTCTTTCTACCCCCATATACATATGGTCGAATGTGTGTGTACAAGGTTTTGTGGGGGGGGGGGGTCGCAGCTCTGGCTTCGAACGTAGAATGTGACGGCTGATAGTTGCTGGTCAATGATCTAGTAACGTCCGCTTATATATATATGGAAGCTCATTCAAATGAAAAGCTTTTCTCATGCTTTGTTTCTAAGATTGCATCTAAACGAAAATAGATACCTCAATGAAATTCTCTACACGCGCCATTTCTGACGATCATATTTGTTCAACATAATCGCCATCTTATACGATTATAATCTCGACTGAAGATCTAAGCCATTATTTTTCTCTTTCGATTCGTAAATAACCTATTGCAATAATAAAGTGTAATAGGTGAAAAACTTCAATACGCTACACATGAAACATTTCAATGAAATTACATTTTAGGCCAAAAGTGCATAGGCTCAAAGTGGCCGAATAATTCAGCCCAAAAGGAGCCCAAAAGCCTAGGACGTTTCAATTCAGTTAACAATTGATATTCCCAGTTATGCAATAGGCGTTAGTTTCTGTATCAGAAACCTAGGTGTATCGTTTTGAGCCATCTCAATGAATATAGGCCCCATTGAAGATTTTCCGATTTGTCTCGTGAAGATCTGTTATCGTACTTTCCAGGAGTCGCATCAAAATTGGTTATGACGTAAACCGGAACTTTTGTGGAATTTGGTCAGCGCAGAAAGATTAGATAGAATAGCTGATATTCGTTCAAACTCTGAAATCGACACAAAACGGTTGTTTTGTTCTAGAAACAATTGGCTTTCGTCTGCTAACAGAGATGGGGGTTGCATGCACGCTTGTTACGACAGTCCGCGAAAACTTCTCACCAGCTCTAACCGTCGATAGAAATCTATTTGACATTTTCCTGTTCTACAACAGCTTCCACCAAGAAATAATGCGCTGTCGTGATCGATAGCACACCATGGTTTCTATAACGTCGCAAGCCCATATTAGCTTAAGATGGACGAAGCTTAGATTAAGAAGTACTATTAACAAAGAAAGCATTTTGTCAGCTCATCAAATGTTAGATCGTGTGTAGTCGGTAAGAAGGCCCTTTTACTGATTCCTATAGGAGAAATAGTTTGGGTATTGATAGCAGGTTGGTATCATTAATAACTGGCACTAAATTTCGGTGAAGTTCAATGCTGATGAATTGCGGGACGAACCTGATGGCCTGGTTGGTGTTATATTTGAGCCTTTCGACGACATTTTGCAAGCACGCGTGACCGTTTATTCATTTCTGACACAATACGTGTTGTACTAGGCTCCATGAGATGTCAACGAATTCAACCATTCGATCGCCTGCATTGACGTTTAACGTTTAGCAAACCCGCGTTGATTCAGGATACTGTACAGTGTATGATAATCTCTACCTTTCATTTATCCTGCTTTTTCTTTCGATGCAAATATATCTATCTAAGTCGTCTTTTCTGTGTCATATTCATCGAAGGACATAACAGCTGATTGGCAGAAATTTGACAATCGATAAATATCTTTTTAGTTTTTTCCCGTATTCGTTTTCCTATCCATTTTACGTTTGCCACTTACCGCTATCGCTGTTGCGAATAAGGGCACAAAATTATGAGGTGGGCTGATTTCTTAAAGTTTCCGATGCTGTCTTCAAATATCGGCACCGACGAAAGCGGGGGGTCATTGCTAGCAGTGGTCCCCGCTGTCGCCCCCGCTACTGCCACGTTTAGCCTGCAGCTTCTGCCAATACTAGCGTACTAATAACAGGATGATAACGTCCGATAACTGTATGCCGCGACGGCTGCCGCCTGTGCAGCTTGTACCGGCTTGCACCGACAACGTAATCGGGATTATTCTGCTGTTAGATCGTTTACTAGAAGTAACAGTAACAGAAGCAGCGGACGTCCCACTAGATCAAAAGCAGCTTTAATCCAACGGAACCAGTATAATAGTGCAGTCGACGTCGTCGATCGTCCGACGATATACATACATTGCTGATACATACGCCTGCTTGTGTAGCTGGTGTGCTGGCCAGCGTTGAACTGTCCGTCCGTCCGTTCGCCCTACTCGCGCCGCTGACGGGACTGCAATCACAACGGCGGCAATAGGAGGACGCAAAGTAGATGTGACCTATGTACTGACAGCCTGGCGGGCCGCACCGATCGAGGAAACAGCAGCAACGCGTCTGCAGACGAGGGTGGAAGAAGTTTGCCGATGTGTCGGTGGCCAATCTAGCAGTCGAGCGGCATCAGCATGACAGCAGTCGGTGTATTTGCTATTGACGACGCTGGATAACCGCTAAAACCTCAAGATTCTTAATCCGTTACCGCTGCCGCGGCCACTGCAACTATTACTAGAAGACTTCGACGACTTCAGTCGCCCGTCGAATGGTGATACGAAGAAACATTGCCTTGCCGTCACGACGATGATAAGATAGAAACAAGTCGAAAGAGATTCGTCGCACTCGCGCATGGTACGATGGCAGATGTGGACGGATAGGGACTGTCGTCGTCGTCGTTGTCGACGGCGGCGGCGGCGACGTGGCCGGCCGCTTCATCCGTCGCTCGCCTTGGCCTAACCACCAGAGCGGATTACCATTTAGCCGCGATGGCTGATCTGCAGTCGGTGCCGCGTTTCGTCGTCGGCAGTCGTTGTTACTGTTCGTTTCGCTGCTGTTGCTGGAGTGGCCGCTGCTACGCCTTCTCGTGCAGAGTTGTTTCTACTTCTACTCGTTCTATCCTGCGCAGATTCATCTGGCAGACTCTTCTGCTGACGCTGCTCTCCCCCTGCCGTGTCTTCGGCCGTTGCTGTCATTGCTGCTGCATACTTTTGTATTCATCCGCTGATATCCGTTTCGTTCGATCCGCCTTTCTCTTTCGAAGAACGTCAACGGCATAGCAAGCTGACAAATTCAGCGTTTGCCTTCAGCGTGTGTCTGTCGCATCTGTGTGTGTTCGCTTCATGTTCATATTGAGTAAATCCTTCCGAGTCTTTTTTTTGTCCGCATTTGTAGGCCGGATTGGCCGACTCGTTCCAGCCCGGCGTACACAAGCGTATAGTCGTCTGTTTGCAAGCAACAATTGAATCAGTATAGAACACAAAAGCAAACGGGAACAGATGTACGTGTCATAGATCTTCAACGACAACAATAGAGAGCCAAGTAGTGAGCGCTAGCCACTGTACGTATACAACAATATCCTGTGTCAGCTATTTACTCCGATTTCGTGAAACGCATACTACCTAGAGGTTAATTTGTCCTTTGTTATTATATTTTTTGCATTGTTATAGCATGAGGTTAGTGAGCAACGATTTATGTAGAAAGCAAAAATACTATGATTCAGTCTGTTTTCGTGTTTGCCACCTGGGCACTGGCAGACGACGAATGCTGTTTTATAATAGGAAAAATCGGAGTTGTCCTTTTCGGCCATTTCATAGTGATCTGTCCTAATTATGACACTAGTGATTAACTTTAACTATGCATAAATTAGCACTGTGGAAGTGTTTCGAACAAATTTTCACATGAACAGCTGTTGGCAGCATGGACGTATCTTGTTTAGAGAACACAAAATGAAGTTATGGCTCTGAAAGCAGCTATAAGCATTTTTGTTAACGATACTATTTGTAACTTATTTTATGTACTTGTATTGCTTTAGCAGCAGTTCTCACAGGTGGAAGGGTTGAGGTCTTTTTTGCCATTTGTTTCAAGGTGGCAACAGCACCTAGCTCAGGCTAGATTGTCCTGCTTTGGACCTTGACGGCCTTGTTCTAGGAGTACTGCCGCAACATATTTCGTAATGTTGATTGATTCGGGTTGCCTTTAATTGGACGCCCACTTTACCTGTATCTTTTTTGTTGTTTCGCTAATATCGATATAATATATTTCACTAAGACGACGACGACGGCGACGGCGACGTCCTTTACTTCCAGAGCCTTAATTGAATTCATTACATTGGTTCGTACACAATGCTGCTTATCCAGTTTCCGTCTGCTTAGGGTTGTTGTATTGCAGATTCACATATGTGCATATACATATATTCAACGCTTTGTAGGGACGCGACGTAACACCAACATGTAGTCATCTGGTTTCTTGTTGTGCGTTGACGTAGGTGCTCTCCAAATCAAAAACTGGCTACCATTGGGACTCGACCAAGTAACGGATAACCCCCAAAATGCAACGGTCGGGGAAATGCTCGCCGATCTTGGCCAGCTCGTCACCTTACGTATCACATTACTCAAGTAAGTATGAATCTTCTATCTTCGCAAAGACTTTTGATTAATGGCACTCACATATAAACCTGATCATCAACTCATCTATCTGTCGTCACCGTTGCGTCATTACAGTTTACCGTCGGTGAAGGGCGAACAGTCTGAAGATCCTTTGACCTCGTGCCAAACTATCAAAAGGGTAAGTTGAGCTTGCCAACTTAAATATGCATAGGTCTATTTACCTTAGTAATTAGCTAGTAACGAAATACCGCTCGATCTGCCTTGTAAGCGCTTAACAAGCACAAACGCACCCGTGAATGTAAAGTTACGTCGAAATTTATGAATAGTCATTTACGGATTAATGTTACGGAACTCATTTCGTATTAATATACTCTGTATGTAAGATTTGTCGATACGGCGACAAAATGTTGCCAGGTAATTGTAGTGGTGGTAATGGCTGTTATGGCCATCTAACGAACAAGCTAGGCACTAACAAAGTTTATTCTCATACTAATTAAATTCATTATACGTAAGGACAAAAGCAGAGTAGTGTTTGCTGTACAGTTTACCGTTTCAGTTACTCTCCTCTAACTTTTGCTGAGCCTTCTTCTTATCGTGTGCCCGCTTAATCCCCATCATTCTTCCTGAAGATGCGTAAATAGTTCTGCGGTAGTTTTTCTTCAATGGGATTAATTGAGCCCAATCTATGGCAACGCTGTGTCACCCAGGCCAACTCGTCTTCATCCACAGTGAAATTCATCCCCCGTTCGCTACCTCTTGCCCCTAACGCCCATCGGTCTATTGGCTGAACGAATACATATACGCAACTACCGTGCGCGTCTCTCGCGACTTAGCGGAGTTATTCCGCTGCAAGTCTTTGCTAGTTGGTAATCGCTGCGGTTACTGAAACCAACCAGCCAGCCAGCCAGTTTACTTATTTGAGGTTGGTTTTCTGTCTACGGCTTGATGGAGCAGTCAGGCGAGCCAAGCCTGCTTGAGAAAGTTTGAAGTTCATGTCCACGGTTCGTTCCGCGCTGCTATCATTAAAGCGCTGCCAGTGCATAGTGGCGTCGCGGGATGGGAGCGGTACAGACCAGCGGGACAGACTGCCTCTTTCTGTTCTTCTTCGGCAGCCGTAGACAGACAGAAGTCGAGAAAGGTCTGCGAAGCTTTTTCGTACAAAGGTGTGCTGTCGTCAGGGCCAGTGACGTACCGCTGGCAAGCTTTCTGGCTTCATCAGGCGGCTTATAAGCTGGTTGAAAGATCTAGGCTGGCTACCACCTCTCACAACCGGCCTGCCACCTTCACTCACTGGCGATTGCGGCCAAAATTGGGAAACTTCGCAGTGACGACGGGCCTGCATTTTCCTACGACTGGTTATATTAATACTACAATCGCCACTTCTCCTATCTCAGCTGTTAGCGCAGTAGCAGGTGTAGTGGCCGTTGCTCTCGTCCACGGTTCATACGCGCTGCACTCGTCTAGTAGCAGCGCTACCGAAAGCAGTAGTTCTTCGTTTTACCGTCTATGCTTCTACTGGCCCTCCTCCGCTTCTTCTTCTTTTCCTACGCGTGCAACGCTCTCTTGGCTCCTCTCGTACTCGTTCTTTTCGGTAGAGATACGGCTTACAGGTACTTAGTAACTAAGCCCCCTTAACATGTAGGCGATCATAATTATCTACACGACTCACTCGCGGACACTGACACGGCAGATGCAGTAACATAGTGGTGTTATGGAACAGTTCCAGGGCGCTAACGGCTACCCAAGCAGCATCAGCAGGAACGGCGGCGGAAAAATATTGCTATCAGCTAACAGGAGAGGCGCTACTGTCTCCCCCCCCCTCTCCCCATCCTGTTCGGAGGCTGCGCTCTTTTCTTAAAGAAGACGGAGCGAGGGCAGGGGAATGTTTGGTAGGAGTTGGGACGAGGTTTGAGGCTATGAGGGCTTTGGGGCAAGGAGCTAAAAGGGAAACCGTCTTTTCGACCATCTTCCACACAACGACGACACTTGCGCGATTCTCGTATCGCATGTTGGTGCTGCCCATCATCGTGCGTCCGTCGGTCGGCCCGTCCATCCGCTTTTCTGCTCCTCATCTCGTTTCTCGCTGCTGTTCTCTCGTCCTTAGCCATCATGTATTTCTCTCCTCATTATTCGCCTGTTTCCACAATCTTTAATCCGCAAAAAATGAGACCTCTTACGCAGAAAGGAAAAAGAGAGGTACATAGTACGACTACCCCGGCTTATGCGGCTGGTATATCAGTCGATGTTGGTAGTGCCTGCGCTGTTGCTGTTAGTAGTGTTACAACAGGCCCAAAAGCTACTTGCGCTTCGAGAGAGATAGAGTAGGACACACGAGAAAGCGCCTGTTTCTAGCCTGACCAACGTAACGAATAGGGTATGAGGCTCGGGGGGAAAGAACGGCAAAAGATAATAGGAGTCATGCTCAGGATGGCCGCTACTTGATGCTGGCCGCCAAGCCCTTTATGGCATCGAGGCACGTGCTGATTAGCTTGAACCGCGCTTGAGGATAAACCTTAGATGGCCGCCGGGGTCTCGATTTGCTGTGGCGAACCAGCTAACGAACTGATGCTGGTAGAAGGTAATGCAGTGAAGTCTAGTCCAGTTTTGTAAAAAATCGACTGCTATAGTTATTGTAAATCGCGAATAACGATACGTGCAGACATACACGACGTCATCGTGTGTCCATATACGCGTTCAGGAGAAATTAGGTTACAGCAATGTCATCTTAGCCTGCTATCCTCCCTTACCTACTGTTCCTTCATTGTGTGTTGTATACTTGTTCAAAACCTACTGAAACCGACTGACTAGGGAAATGACCGGTACGTTATACTGTGATTGTGCTGGATTCCAGTGTTGATGAATCTTTGCGGAGCAAATTGTTAACGAACCGAATGTAACGCCTCTAGCAAAAGCTATACATGTAGTACATTATTAAGCTAAAGGTTTTGGGTTATCGCTTGCTGTTGATAGGTCGGAAGGACCTCGACGCATCATTTGCTCATGATGTCACACAGAAGTATCGCCATAACGCGAAATGTCAAGCAAGCGATCACGACGTATGATAGCCTGCAAAGGCTTTACCGAAGGCACCGATCGTTTTGCTAGGCTTTTACATTGAACACGTGCACGAAAGAGTATAGCTGGATAAATTCTCAATGTATATGTATTCATCTTGGATACATACACGCACATACAATATCCAGTACGTGCCCAATACATACAAGCATTATCGAGTATATGATTAGGTTGGCAGGAGAATATCGCTAGGCCGTGCCCTCCCCGCGTATTAGCTTCGACGCGGCCTGTACATGGCTGTACGGAATTAAGACGGGGGAATGGCAGGGAAAACGAGTTCCTGGTAAGAAATACCAAAGGGGAAATGAAGGCATGGAGAGGGGAGCAAGGGGTCAGGTAGGGGCAGACGAAAGCCTGTGTCCTCTCGTCGGGAATTTTGGGGGGACATCGGGCGGCAATTATCCTTGGCTGTTTAAGGACAACTAAAAGCTAGCTGCGCTGCCATCCTGTTTCGCCGCCTTTAGCAGCCTGCCCGTCCGGACGTTCCACCTACCCCTACACCCTCCAGTTGCCCCTACACACTTCGATAGCGATGACACGTGATGAGGAATATCATGTTGAGGATGTTGACTATAATAATCATCATCATAATAATAATAAGGAGATGAGAGGAAGCGCCGGCACGGTCCTGCGCCGGCGCTCATGGCGTTTGCAGTATAGCGGCCTAGCGCGGGCTCAGTCTGGGGAACTGCTAAAGAACAAAGTAGAGGAGGATATGCTGTAATGCAGCACGGTTTGCTACCAGGTTCGGCGCCTGCTGTCGCTGCCTCGAGTCTAATAAATTCCCTCTTCAAACATTAAGCTGATCAAGGAGATATTAAGAAGATACTACTGACAGTACTGCCGCTGCCGGTCGGTAAGGAAAACGCGGGATGATTTCGGGGTGCTAGTGCAGTTGGTGATGACGCTATGGCTGTTCGAGCTGCTGCTGCTTCTAGGATCCGCTGGCTGGATGGGGCTGGCTCTACCACCAATCGCGGAACTACGGGTTTCGGGTTCTGAGGGGGAGGATACACCGAAGCAAAAATCGGCAAGAGGCTGGCAGCCTGCCAGACTACGCACTGCGAGAAGCAGCGCTACTACAGTATAGCCCTGTTGGCTCGTTACTGCCTCCACCAGCGCTGCGACTGCCAGGACATCGGCCACTGGAGCCGCAGCACTTATATTCCTACGCAAGCTCACCCCTCGAGCCCCCGACCTCGCTGATCAGTTGTCAGCGGCGGCAGTGGCGACTGCTGCCGACCGCTTGCCACTACCGAGGCCCTTAAGTCTCTAAGTCAAGTCAAGACGACTAAGCGGCCTAGTTCTAAGGCTCGTCTTACTCCTGCTATAGTCGCGCGTCTGCTATACCTATCACCGCTCATGCACTCCTGATCTTCTCTTCTTCGTTTGCCACGACGGCACGATAAAACGCGTGCTCATCCAGGCAGACGCCTATATGTACTGCTGTGTGTATCATCTATGCGTCTGTGTGTGGCCTTCTAATATTGACCCGGCCAACCGCCAAACTTGCCTCGCGATTTCCGCTTTTTTCTCCGATATTTTTTTATTATTTAGTCATATCATCATGTTCGTCATCAGCACTAAAACGCCGCTGCGGCTACTCCTAGAGAACTGGCAGCAATGGAAGAAAACAGTCAAAAAAGAAAAGATCGAAAGAGCGGAACTTCACGCGAAGGGGATAATAAGCGATATATGTCGAGAGTCAGTTCTCAACCGGGAGAAACAGGTAGCGCCTCAGTACAGGAGCTATAGCGTGCGGTAGATAGAAGCTTATTGTAGCCGAAAAGATAGCGGGAGGCGGATTCATAAAAGTGGCTTTCAGAGAAGGATAACTAAAATAATGAGTTTAGCTATAAGATCGATTCAATTTTGTTCCAGACTTAGCTTTGTCATTGTTCCCCTTGAAGAAATTCGTCAGTGAGGAGGAGCAGTGCTGCGTTCGAACTACGATTATACCCGATAGCTACTACCTTCGCGCATGTTTTGCTTTCCTAGGAACTACGCTCTCGTGGACTAGTCACAAATAGTTTGCGATGATCTATTAGAGCTAATTCAAGCAATGTCTAGCCGTTGAATTTTTGGTCGCAGATCGTTGCTTGCCACTGTAAACTACACGAGATTAGATCAGGCTACGCCGTAACAGCTTTTGCTTTCAACATTCACAACTGAATGACTGTGATCTGACTGAAAGCTTCCAGCAGTACGCTATTACGTGAGTGGTTCGGAAACTTGTCACTAAGGCTGCGAACGCTTTTTGTTTCCCTGATAGGACACGCATACTCCTCCGGAAGAATCGGAGGATGTGAAGGAGCCGACAAGGGATCTAAGTCCTAAGGATCTTGTCCTGCTCAATCACCTGCTCAACAAGCAACAACAGCAGCAACAACAACAACAACAACAGCAGCAGCAGCAACAGCAGCAACAGCGACAACACTCGCAGCCACAAACTCAGGCTCAAACAGATCGTTTCGCCAACCAGCTGCTGATTGGGGCGGCAGCTCTCCAGAGTCGACTGCAGATGGTGGAGGGAATACCGCCAGCGCTCAGTATGTGTACGGACAATATTTTCATATTTTCGTTTGTCATCGACCGTACTATTATGTTAAGTGGGTTACTTTGAACGATTTCGCTTTATTACCTAGTATGCATGTTGATCGCAAATACCAATAAAAAGATTTAATTAATAATTTAGAAGAGTTTTCCCTACTGGCCTCATTCTGCCTGCATTTTCTTTCTGTATTGCAATATAT